AATCGATCAACTGAAAGAATTCGATGCAAATTCTTAGCTGTCTAATCAACGGTATGCAATGTGATTGATAATTCGCAATTTGTAAGAACATTCTGCTGAAAAAAATAGGAAAAATAACAACAGTTTTCTCTGAATTTTTTTTGCTGAATGTCTGGATAACGTAAATTAGGTTTAAGTAATTCCGGTTCTAATAGTCTGATAAAGGTGACTATATACGTGAGGGCTTACATAGCTCTTAGCTTGTTGCATTGACAAATGCAATTAGGAATTTTGATAACTTGTATTGAGGAATGCAATTTCCGTGAAGTCAGGTATTTGTAGTAAAGAGCTAGTACTTAAAAACACGGTATTACCGTGAGGTAACTTTAGTGAAGAATACAATTTATATATAACTGTAGTAGTTTGATATTTGTAGTAAATAACTGCACAGATAAATTTCCAATTTTCGTAGTATTGCGTGGTAATTAGGTATTTGTTATTAAGTATACTGTACGAAAAACATATAGTAAGCACATTTAGTAAAGAAAACAATTTGTAATTAGGTGGAGCAAGATCGCCTGTTTGAGCGTAGTTCTGAATAGGACTGTTGTTTATAGTGACTGACGTTTTGAAAACCTGATGTGTTCAGTAGTCATCTTCAGAGTCAATGAAAGGACTACGTTCACCCGGATGATCATGCTTCATCTTCTTATGAGATGATATCAATCACCAATCATCTTTTGTGGTAATTAGGTATTTAGGTAATTAGGCATCATTGTCGTTCATCTCCGCTGGGTGAGGTGCGAATTCTTCGTAGAACTGCCTTCGTGCTCATTTTTTAGTCATAAACAAAGGTGCTGGACAGTTCTATCTGAGCTCTGATACGAGGTAGCGTCCAATCTCAATACCTTTTTCCTGAGTTGAAAGCAACGAACAGCAGTAAAAATCGTCGAAAATGCATTGCAATACATCAAAATGTATGCAGCAGGAGTTTGAGCCAAAACTGCCAAGGGATATTTTAAATATGTCGAGGAACATGTCATTGTACGTCAGAGTAAGGTTTGGAGCAATTTATAGTGCTTCTGAAACTAAAAAGTACCTTTTAAAGAATAGCACGATAGGCAATCGGCTTTCGTTTTAAGAATTAGTGTCTCCTTCTACCTGATAGTTAAGAATTTCATCGTAAAGAAAGTTACCTATTTGTCGTCTTTGTAAAGGACTTGTTTTTTATGACATTAACTATGCCCCTTAATAACTTTCGTTTGAAGTTTTCATATATATTTTTTTTCAAGTCATGAGAAATATGACTGCCGCAGCTGGGGCGAATGGCCGATCCTTGAGAGTTTTTGTGAAAAGTAAATAAATATCGATCTTGTGAAAATTTAAAATCACATTTCTGCCAATAAAGTTTGTGTACTTCAAAATGTTTTCGGGAGTTTTGAGAAACAGACGCTTGGTGTTGTACATGTGAGAGCCGGCTTGAAATTATTCGATTTTTAACTGTCCCCCTCTCACAACGTGATTGTGATATGTGGTGAAGAGTTTGAACTTGGTTAAGCTGCTTCACAACATTTTCATGGTCACCATTTCTTGTTTTCAGTGGTGAAAATGTTGAGGCTACTCGACAAAATAAATTCTCGACTCAGGTGCTCTTCTGCACATATTTAACCACCAGGTTTTGGTTCGTCGAAGGATGGTTAAGTTTAACCCAGGATATATCGATTAGACTTAATTTGACGCAAAGTTTTCTTGTCTACGAGCATGCAACTGGAGCTTACAACATACTGATGAGCCTTTCCTCCGAGTTAGATACAGCAATACTTTGGAAGGTAAAATACAAAAACGTGCCACTGAAAATTTTAATCCTGGATTAACACTAATCGGCCTTACAGGAGCAGACCCAGGGAGACAAGCGTAGGTACGCAGGGGACAATGGGATCAAGAATGAATACACCATGCGCATGCGCAGTGTAACAACTTGCCTTTGGGTATGATAAATATATTATGTAAACAACAAAGAAATACCAGGTCAGCTTTCGCGCGAAAACATGAAATCCTCACATATGAAAATGACATGTTATCCCCTCGCTTGAAAAGATGTTAGCGTAAGTCAAATTGTTAGTTCTCCAGTCGTTCTCCCGTAGTTAGTTTTGCTACGGGAGAACGACTGGAGAACTAACAATTTGACTTACGCTAACATCTTTTCAAGTGGGGGGATAACATGTCATTTTCATATGTGAGGATTTCATGTTTTCGCGCGAAAGCTGACCTGGTATTAGTCGTAGTTAGTTAGCTTTGCTAACTACGACTAACAATAGACGACTGTTTAACTATGACAATAGACGGATCGAAACGCACCAATTACTGATTACGAGTCTTCATAGCCAATAACATCACTGCTTAACTGACAGACGACCAATAACATCGCGACGTAATTGACCAATCAGATCAATGACCAGAGTATAATACCATCAACTGACGTGAAACAATTCACTTTGACTCTGAAGATGACTACCGCACAGGTTGTCGAAACGTCAGTCACTGTCAACAACAACAGTCCTGTTCAGGACTACGTTCACCCGGACGATCAAACTCAACCTACTTTTGAAATGACTCCTGGGTTCAAAACTTTCACAGCATTACAAATTATGTTAGCATAAATTGTGACATTCCCTGGTCTCACGGATTAAGAATTGAAAAATAAGAAATATCAAAGGTTGCCCTGATATGATATATGAGATATGATATGATATATGTTAGGATATGATATGATATGCTCACTACTTTGCTTTATGGATCGATATATGGAAAGAGAGGGTGGACTATCGTCTAGTTCTTGCAACCTGATATATTTCGTCCTTCTGGGTAAAATCCCCTTTCCAATCTTTCGATTTCTCTTCCTGTTTCGCTTCCTCTTCCGATTTTGGATGGCTGGTTTTAGGACGCTCAAGCTTGAAGGAATTAAAATGGATTTTTTACAAACTACGATTTGTGAAGTGTCAGGAAACGTATCGTGGACAGGTAAAGATGACTTAGAACCTGGCTCAGTGGAACTTCATCATTTGTATCCGTGGAAGAACGAATTCAAGTTTCGCGTCAGCAAAGCAGGATATATTGAAGTAAGTAGTAAGCTTACAACCTCATTTATTTACTATGCTGGCCATCACGTTTAAATTCTTTTCTGTAAGCTTAAGTTATTTATCGCTTATTGAATTATTAACAATCAGTGCTCAAAAGTAAATTGGGCTCGGAGTTGATAACCGCTTAGATAAACTTCGGTAAATGTCTTATTTTGAAAATACATTTCATAGCGGCTTACGTGACGACAAAAAAGTTCAGAGACGATTCTACGTAAAGTCCATGTTGAGATTAGTAAACTTCCTCAAAGTTATTATGAGTAACAACGAACTGCAATGATTGTCATGTTAGAAGCGCAAAAAAGGGGTTTTGATAAATTTTTTTTAATCGCCTACACCGTGAGGTTTCTACGCAGGACATCTTGGTTAGGTTTCGGAGGTTTACATTGTTGACAAGCTGAGTGGCAATAGAGAAGAGTATTCTTAATTCTACCGGAAAATAAATGTCCTCTAGTCTGTACACAATCTAATAACTACCCTGATCGAGTTGTAACAAGTTTTAAATACTTTCTGTATCAAACAAATCTGCAAGCACAAACAGATGCTGACAAAATCAATCAATCAATCAATACACTCAGTTTAGGGACGGACGATTAGAAAACTTCATGAGGGAGGAGGGTGTGGGGGGGCAAAGTACAAAAAAAAAGGTGCAAGGGAAAATTAAATGAAACGAACGTCATGCACGTTAAAGGGGTTGTGTCATGGCAGTCCAGTTCATTTTGATTAATTTTGCCAAATTTTACTCGCCCTCAGCCGCTAAGGAACTTAACGTAAGCAAAGAAATTACAGGTAAATGACAAAATCAGAGATCGAGACAAACAAATATGTCTACTGAGCATCATTTTTGAAGATGCAAGCAGCATGAAACCGTTGGGCTGAACAGTTTTCAAAAACCCTAATTTCAATCCGTTTCAATCTTCTTCAGTTTTGCCCATCCGTGGCATCTGTTGTTTCTGTTATGTTATTTTAACCTTCCTTTAAATTTTTAAGCGGTTATTTTTATGCTTCTCTTTTTTTTAACTGGCATTTTGTAATTTGCTAATGTGGCTGAATTTCGTGACACAGCTCCTTTAAGTTACCCTAAGAAATATTCAAGCGCTGGTCTGAAAAAAATCATACCTTAATTCCTCTATTAAACCTCCGAGGGCAAACTTATTTCAAATACATTTTTGGGGGGATTAATGGAGACGGGGAGGTTTACTTGAGATCGTATCAGTTCTACGGAAGAACTAGAATGCAAAGTGGAAAACTCAAGTACAAGAAGTTGAAGGTTATGCAGCTGAGGGTCACTCAGGTACAAATCAGAACTTTTAACGCGTGAACAAATAATCTCTCGGCCAGATCCTCCGGCCAAATGAAGTTTTATGTAAAATGATAAGGGCGAAGGGAGAGAAGACAGGCTTAAAAGAGCGGCGGCGGTTTTATTAACCTCCTTTCCCTGGAAAGGGGGCTTTTTAGAAAGGAGGCTTATTTGAGAAGGTGGTGGGGGGGGGATAGTCGGTTTACGATATTAGGTAAATATTTAATTTAAAAAAATAAGGAAAACTCGTCCCACTTGAACAGTCATCATTTGCAGGGGACAAGACTTTTCAATAGCCTGTTCCAGGCGTTCAGATAGTAGAGCGCGGCGGTAAGTGGGGAGCGAGTTAAGTTGTACATCGGAAAAATGGGGCGGGGGTGGAACGGGGGGAGGGGGGGGGCGAGAGCGAGAGAACGCCTGTAAACATTGTTAACAAAGGGTCGTTCCGGTATACTGGATTCCAGTACACCTCCTTATTGCCGACTGACCGTCTAAATGTTAGACTCGGAGCGACAGAAATTAGATTTGCTTAGTTAAAAGAAGGAAAACCTCTGATGTTGTTTATTGAAAGCTAACTCAAAGGTCACGTTTCACACTATCATGAGCTTATGGGTCGCGTCTTTGTAGTTCATGTCACAGTTACGCGGTCGGCGGTCAATTAAGGGTGGAAAGAGCTCTGTAAGGGAATGTTTACAGGCGTTCTCTCCCCTTCCCCTCTAGTATCCCCTCGTTTTTTTTTTTCTTTCGTGAATTTTTCTCCCGCGCTTTACTATCTGAACGCCTGGAACAGGCTAACTTTTCTCAAGCAAACTCGTTCGTAGGGCTTTCTCTTACAAGTAGGAGGGAGCCCTGGAACGAGGTTGTTTTTCAGACATATCCCCATGAGCACGGTTTAGTCAAAAAAGGCCATGGAAAAACTAAATAAAATACTGTTCTTTGATTAGAAAAGTTCGAAGGAAAATCGTGTTCCACCGACCACACCTTCTCGTCATAATCTGCCGGTCCTTGGGGTTCTCGAAAACTTTTGCGTCATGACTTTATCTATTTCTTTAAACATCTAAAGTCAATATAAAATAATGCGCTAAAATATTAATCTCATAAAATCAGCTCATTCTCTCATGACAAAATCGATGTAAGAGAGTTAAAAACGTCAAAACTTCGTCGTTTTCAACCTTTTTTAGCTCTCTGAAAGTGTAGTTAAAGTCATTTTAGCCAGAATCCTGGTGACGGGCTCCTGTTTTAGGACATTTTCATATCCTCGTATTGTATAACCTTATCAAATTGTAAAAGGCTTCTATAAAATATGGGTTTACGT